CTGTTCATTACAGGAAAATACTGCTCTGCACTATCACATCGACACTGTGACCGCGGCTAAAAGTATGCAATGATACCGCTTTATGCAGACCTATCTGCTAAAATGTTTGAATAGAGATTTTTGAAAGGTAAACTGAATTTCAAAACAAAATTATTTTGGAATAAGTGTTTTTCAATTGAAGTTCGATGTGTGAATATTGATGATAAAAAACGCTCAATTATTTGTACGCGCGCATAAAGGATTGTCTTATTCATACTAATGCTGTCTAAGATCTAGAATGCTATTGAATTTCAAACAGTGTGATAAAAATGTAAATGAACGCTATATACACTACATTGTTTGTTTTTTGTCTCTATTGACTTTCAGGATGGTGTAAATGACTTGAAGGTTCCCGCGAATGAGAGTGTATGTTTCTCTTTAAATTTGTTTGACGAATGACGTATATGATTGCCCAAAATTGTTATTGAATGCTGATTAAAATGCAAAAATCGTTATTGAATCTGGTCTACGCGCAAATGACGGTTTTTTTGTCTCTAATGATTGTATTTTCACACAATTTTTCGCCTTCTAATGCAAATGAATGTGTATTTTCTCATCAGAGGTGTGTGGTCTTCTTTCCCTGGTATTCATTTTTTTATTATTTTTTTTAATTATTTCATATACCTGACACATTAGTTTTTTAGATGCCTCCTCTACGACTCTCAACACGCCTTGCTCGACAAGTTGTGGAAGTCGATGGAACATCTTACGCGTGTTTTCTATACCTCATCATGATTGACGTGTCTATGAGAGGTGCTACGGTCACTCCCTGCTGTCATCGACGCATCCATCGTTCGTGTTTTCGTGGTCATAGAACCACCTCAGACCAATGTGGACATTGTCGAGCACCCTTTGCTGTTCCTGCTGCTGCTGCCATTCCCAACGAGGATGTGACGAATAGGGAACAACAACGTCAACAAGCCATACGGGATTTGGAAGCCTTGTTGGAACCGGGAGCCATCAAGGAACGGATTACCAATGTACTTAGTGATGTTAATGCAGATACTTGTATGAATTGTGAAATTTATTGGGAAATGTTTGGGTATGTTTCAACATGCAATTTTTTTCAGTGGTATTATCCCACTTATTATTGTGGAAGGTGTCGTTATGACTTTAATTATTTTCTGGTTCATCATTTTGTTTTGTTTGCTTGCATGGTTAATGACCTGATGGATTCCTGGGGCTTGCGTATCAAGTTTGTTGATGACTTTACTATCATGGAAATTCTTCCAAAAAATTCTCCTTTTGTGCTTAACTACCTTGTGAATGACATCCAAAATTTTGCTAACACCAATAACATGCGCGTTAATCCTACTAAATGTAAGTGCATGAGTGTTGACTTCCTTCAGTATAATAGTTACAAGGCTCCCCCGGTCGTATCGGGGGGAGCTGTTATAGAAGAGGTCTCGTCGTTCAAGCTTTTAGGCGTCAACTTGTCTAATGACCTTTCCTGGGGGACGCATGTTGACCACCTGCTGAAGAAGGCTAACAGACGGTTGTTTGCTTTAAGGCAGCTCAGGAGAAGTTCTGTCCCAGCGGAAGATATCGTCTACATCTATTGCTGCCTAATACGTTCCATACTTGAGTACGCCTCTACTGCATTTGCCAATTTACCGTCCTACTTATCTAAGACCTTAGAGTCAGTGCAGAGGCGTGCTCTCGCCATTATTTGGCCAGGTCATTCGTACTCAGATACCCTAATGCTAGCCGGTATAT